TTATTAGCTGGCACGAAATAGTGGTGTTTATAAAATCAACGAAAAAGGCCTAAAAATGCAACTCAACTTTCAGAAATGGTTTATCCATGCCATCCGTTAAAAAAATGTTCATTTCATGCCACTGCCGTTAAAGAAATGGCCCATCCATGCCATTATTGACTAACGGCTCAATTTTTATTTGGCCCATCCATGCCACTGCCGTTAGTCAATAATGGCATGGATGAGCCATTTCTTTAACGGCAGTGGCATGAAATGAACATTTTTTTAACGGATGGCATGGATAGACCATTTCTGAAAGTTGAGTGGCATTTTTAGGCCTTTGATTTTCTGTTTAAATATCGCATTTAGTCCATGCCCAGAAACAAAAAGAACAATTTGGCTATTTAATTGAACTAGTTCATCTAGAGAATGATTTTTTCAAGATCACCAAGATGAGGGGACTAGAATTTTACAGAAAAAAATAAGAAACACGTTGACGCGGGACATTCAACTTTTACCCGAATCAGTGAAAAATATGTGTATGTTCGTTAGTCACTAATTAATAAATATGCTGGAAAGATCCTTAAAACCAATAGCGATGACTGTTACAAACTGAAACCAAGATTAATATAATGACAATGACTTGAAAACACGCTAATATTAGAATGAAATATATTATTGATATTCAAGTGGTAACATTAGACAATGGAGATAAATAAATATATAGATAGATAACTAAATAAAAATGAAAACTGACGACTATGTATACATTTTGCTTTTTTCATTTAATTTTATGCATACTGTTTTCGTTGGAAGAAATGTTCAAGTGCAAAAAAGAATAAGAGATTTATAATAATTTTAGGGATAATTGCATAAAAGTACAGTCAGCGTAGGTGCTTTTCATCCGCGTAGCCATCATTTTAAGTTTCCATCCGTATAGCCCATGAAAGTCTCACAATATGACATCATGTCTGGATATAACTTTACAGATCTATATGTAATTTTTCATTCGTTGCACACAACCAACTTAAATCGATCATATACATTCCTATTGCAATTACAACAAGGCAAACCAACTATAATGCAACTTGAAAAAAATCTATATTTTCTTCTGTCCCAAGTTCTAAATAGCATAAACAAAAGAAATAAAAAATAAAATTGAAAAAATTTGCTACAAATTCGCAAGTTGGCAGAGAAATCAACAAAAAATTGACTTTATACATCGATTGTTCGAGAAAAAGTAAGAAAAAATTTAATTTCAATTTTAAGTCCACATATGTTGTACATGTATAAAAATGTATAACTTAGTATAAACTCGTATATGGAATGTATAATAATATATTCTAGTATTTCACCAACACAAAAAAGCAAAATTAGCTTTAACTGCACATGTGAAAGGGGAACTTACTTCAAAGAGAAAGACCACCGTACCAAAGTCGAACAGAAATCGCGAATAGAAAGAATAATGTTGTATAACACTATTTACACACCTAATATACAACATTATACAATATTATACACTTATTATATTTTTGTATAATGCTGTATAATATTGTATAATAATGTATAATATTGTATACGAAAACTGTATTTCACCTTCAATTTTCTTTTTCAACTGGTATGATTCTCAAAACCAACGTTAATTATGCTCAATCAACCCAGTACTCTAGATTCAAGTTACTAAAAGTTTTTTCAATATTTTTAGCTTTACCCAAATAATTTCACCGATATTAATCAACACTCATCTAATTTTTTCACCAAAATACATCTTCCTCAGGTCTATTAAAAAAACTCATAAACTACAATAGGCTTAAAATCTCAGTCTAGAACTTCAATCTTGAAGAAATTTCAACAAAAATCAAGAACTCAGTTCCGCTTTTTCAGTCCAGAATTTCAATCTTGAAGAAATTTCAACAAAAATCAAGAACCCAGTGCTTTCCCAATTTTACCTCACCAAATTCGTTCTCAAAGAGTTGCAAAGTAGTCCAACTGAACCAAATCTCTAGGTTGAAGCTTCTTGGACTATTATCAATTAATTTCAATAGCACCCACTCAAATTTGAGCACGATTCTTTCATAAATTTTCAGATCTGAAAAGCTTCTAACTCCCTCAACCTAATTTTTGGTTTGGATATCAAAATCTTGACTTCACGACAAACTTAGGAGAGGTGGCCACTGGAGTGGAGAGAAGAAGAGGAGAAAATGTAGAAGAGATGAGTGAAGATTGTTTAGGTTAAACATTGAAACTTTTATTTCAAGATATATACAATATGGGCCTCAACATGTAAAATCCCAAAATATGGGCTCTTTATGGTTATAGAACTAGGTCGGGTGATATACAGTGTAATTATTTCTAATTTTTATGTAGTTTTTAAATATGTATATTTTGTTTTTTAAAAATTTAATAACTCTATGTTTGAATTTACACCAAAGTTTAGATAATTTGACTCTTGTACTCCTAATCCTGTAAGTGGGATAAAGGGAGTAATAATTATTGAACCCAATGGATTGAGTTGGACGCCATTGTGAAGGCATCCTTAGTAAATATACTAAAGATTAGGGGTCGATATATAAGATAAGAAAGATAGTTTAAAGAAGAACCATGCATCTTGCCTAAGGTGAAATATATATTCTTTTATAATGAACATAAAACACAATGGATAAATTCCTTGAAATTGGAAGTGATCCCACCAATGCAGGAATGATATATTATCGCCACTTATTGTTATTTTATAGCATATACTCTAGCTATTATCACATATATCTTCACACGTTCTTATTTTATAGCCCGTTCTTATTTGCCTTAGTAATGGATGCACTAACACACCATATTCAAGGGGAAGTGTCATGGTGTATGTTATTCGCTGATGACATAGTCCCGATTGATGAGACGCGGGACGGTGTTAACGAGAGGTTGGAGGTTTGGAGACAAGCTCTCGAGTCTAAGGGTTTCAAATTGAGCAGGACTAAGACAGAGTACCTGGAGTGTAAGTTTAGCGCCGAGTCGAGGGAAGTAGGCATGGATGTGAGGCTTGGATCACAGGTCATCCCCAAGAGAGGTAGTTTCAAGTACCTTGGGTCGGTTATTCAAGGGGATTGAGAGATCGACGAGGACGTCACTCACCACATAGGAGTGGGGTGGACGAAATGGAGGCTAGCATCTGGAGTCTTATGTGACAAGAAAGTGCCACCGATACTCAAAGGTAAGTTTTATAGGGCGGTAGTTAGACCGGCCATGTTGTATGGGGCAGAGTGTTGGCCAGTTAAGAACTCTCATATCCAGAGATGAAGGTAGCTGAGATGAGGATGTTGAGGTGGATGTGCGTGCTCACTAGGATAGATAAGATTAGGCAAGAAGATATTCGGGAGAAGGTGGGTCTGGCCTTTGTGGATGACAAGACGCGGGAAGCGAGGCTCAGATGGTTCGGGCACGTGCGGAGGAGAAGCCTGGATGCTCCGGTGAGGAGGTGTGAGCTGTTGGCTTTAGTGGGTAAAAGAAGAGGTAGAGGACGGCCTAAGAATTATTGGGGAGAGGTGATCAGGCAGGACATGACACGATTGCAGATTTCCGAGGACAGGCCCTTGATAGGAAGGTGTGGAGGTCGAGCATTAGGGTGTTAGGATAGAGTGGTAGTCGAGCTTCTCCTTCTCCATTCCAGGGGTGAAGCGAGTTTGAATAGGTTGATCCTAGACGGCTTATGGTTAATGTAGAGTTCACACTAACCTTACTGTTTTCCATAGCTCTAGACCTTAGTTGCGGGTTATTGTTATTGCATGTCATCTATTATATGGTTTTTAGGATGCTGTCATTTTTTCTATGGTTAAGTTGACGATACTGATGAATTGTCTTTTCTTGTTTTATTTCCATCTTCCTGAGCCGAGAGTTTATCGGAAACAGCCTCTCTGCCCTATCGAGGTAGGGTAAGGTCTGCGTACACATTACCCTCTCCAGAACCCACTTAGTGGGACTTTACTGGATCGTTGTTGTTGTTGTTGTTATTGTTATCTTCACACGTTCATATATTTATGTTTTTCGCTTGAGAACGATGATATTTGAACTAGCTTGTTCTTAAAACGACACATTGAATGATGATGATTATAAGAGAAATAAGAACTATTAACAATAGTGGCCATTGTGAGATACTTAAAAAAGCACATCACCATCGCTAAGTGGTGGATTGATTAAAATTATTTTTCACCCTTCAGGTTTCGAGTACGAGCTTTAAATGTGAAAAACTTCTTGGTAGAAAGTATTTATTCCTGCAGTCATCTGTCGGCCAACATTTAGATTAATTAACAGGACAGTAAATTAATATCGAATGATTTAGAAAAAAATGCACCCACCAACCAATTATAATACTGGGGGCCAGTTATAAAGATCTATGCCAAGTGTGAAAACCAAAAAAGGATCCCCTCAATAATCTAAAAGCCCTAGTCATCCCCCACCCAAAGCATTCCAGTTGGCATTCATAAATAGTAGTAATGTATTTTAAGAGAAATTTTATTTTGTGTCTCACATGCCAAGTCATACTTGTATGACACATCTGTTTAGTTGACAAGTGGACTGAGTTGGTCCCACTTTTCAAGTAAGCACATGCCAAGTCATACGGACTGATTTGGGTCCCACTTTTCAAGTAATTAAAGCTAAATTGAGAAAGACTTTCTCTTTCCTATTTACCCCCTCCCCCCCCTCCTAAGAAAAAACCCCCCACCCCCACCCCCGTTTTATCTTGGGAAAAGGTCCAAAATTGCCCCTCTACTATGGTATATTATTTATTTCTGCCACCCGTTTTACTTTTCGTCCAAATCTATTCCTACTGTTAACAATGTTTGTATAATTGCCCATAACCCTAACGTTGCTCCACTGTGGCAGCTGACCCCTTTAATATTTTGTCCATCTCAGCAGTCAAGTCAGCAGGTCCCACCAAATAAAATGCCATGTCAGCATTGGAAGTAATTTAATCCTCAAATAAATTATGTTTCTTTATCAAAATTAGAAAAAGATAAAAAACAAAATTTTCTAATTTAATAAATGCAATAACTATTTTGAGATTTCTCTCTCAGAACAAAGCCAGTGATCGCCGCCACCTGATTTGGTCATCGGCTGGCCGGCGGACCTTTCGTACCAGGTGCTCGTCCATCTTTCATATGCTCAGCCGTTGTTCCCCCTTTATTTTCGTTCACCCAGCCATGCTGCCAGAATCCGGTGACTGTCACCACACCTTCACTGGCGTTACCTTGCCGGAAATAGATGAAATTGGCTGTCCTGTGTGATGTGGTTAGGTTTTGTTCAATGGAAGTATGTAGATCCGGCAGATCTGTGACTAAAAATTTCTCCGGCTTTCAGATCTACACTACCACTGGCCAGGCCTGATGGTGAACGATTCGTCGGCGACCATATTTTGTCATCCTTTCATTCTTATAAATTTGCAAGCAAATTTTCAGGTGGTACTGTAACCGCAACTTTATATAAACCTAAGCTATTGATAATCCCACTACTGTCAGCTCTTCACGCGAGGACAACTTCAGTTCAAACTCAAATTGTTTGGTACCTGCTGCAGAATCAGTAGTAACAGACACGTGAGCTGGGTACCTTCATATGTCGTGTTTGGAAATGGTGGAAAATTTTGAACATATGAAGAAGATGATGAAGGTTGGCGTAGGTCCCACATTTGCCATATGTTTGGTAGGTTGTTTATGTTCAATAAGTTTTGGGGGTAATGTGATCGGGTAATGGTTTAAATTTTAGGACGGATTGATCAAAGTTCAAACTTTTTTTGAAACCCAAATCAAGAATAAAATATGACCCATCTCTCAATTCAAGCTTGAGAAATAAATCGAAATTTTTTCAGCAACCATATGTGAGATTGGATAAGTAAACCCAATGCTGACATGGCATTTTATTTGGTGGGACCTGCTGACTTGGCTGCTGACATGGGCAAAATATTAGAGGGGTCAGCTGCCACAGTGGAGGGACGTTAGGGTTAGGGGCAATTATGCAAACTTTGTTAACGGTAGGGATAGATTTGGACGGAAAGTATAACGGGTGACAGAAGTAAATAATATACTATATTAGAGGGGCAATTTTGGACCTTTTCCCTTTTATCTTTCCCCCTCCTCTGTCTACCCGATTTTCTCCTGCTCAATTTTATCTTCTCCGTAACTCCATTTATTCACCATTAATTATTTTCATTCCTCTTCCAAAAATGTTCTATTTCTATTCTATTCAATATTTTGTACTGAAAAAGTTCAAGACTAGATCTTCATTTCTTCTACGTTGGACATGATTCAGAATAGTTTTGTGTTTCAAGGGTTCAATTTTGGAGAATATTTTTTGAGAATTTGGTTAATCGATGTGATTTCTCAAAAACTTCCACAAAGGCGATTTTGTTATCACAACTTAGAATGTACACGACAAAGAGGGAACTGCTATATATTCTTCTATTTTAGCTTTATATACCGTCTTTTGTTTTAATAAGAAATTTTTTAGTGATATTCCTTATATGTGTTTTCTAATTAAGTTTAAATATTCATTTTTTAAGTTTTAAATATAAGCATAACTTGTTATCTCATAAGAAAACAAAATGAAAAGTTTTGAGAATAATTAGTTGATTGTACATATTTTTTTTTATAAAAGAAGATGAATAAGAAGATTCAATTATATTCAAATCTGCTAGAAATGACTGCCAAAAAAGTTTAAATTGTATCTCAAAACAATGACAAGCATATTGTTGCTGAAGAAGGGAAAGAGGTAGAAGCTAAATCGGGTGGGGTGGGGTGGGGGGTTAAAAAGGAAAGGAAATGTCTTTTTCAATTTAGCTTTAATTACTTGAAAAGTAAATCCAAATCAGTTCACTTATAAAAAAAATAAAAAAAAAATATCTCACACAAGTATGAATTGACATTTGAGACACAAAATAAAATTTCTCCTATTTTAATTGCCACATATAGTACTTGACTTGCCAACAGTTAGTACTACAAGATTAATAGTTGCCATCCTTTTAATTTCCTCCCACTAATAGCAGTAAATTTACAACTTTTTTAGGTTCCTTTTGCTGCCCTTATCTTTTCTTTAGTAAAATTAACTTAAGAATTTCAAGCTATCATCATCTTTTCACATAAAGGTACAAGTATTAAAAGCATGTATATTATATATCTATGCAATACATGCATTAATATTCGGAAAAATGACACTATATAGCTATTCTCAAAATAATAGCCGAAAAAATATATATATTTTGTTTATATATTTCATTCTGTATGCTATATACAAAAATTATACAACTTTTATAAACTTTTTCAGCTACAGAATATAAATAGTTTCTGGCACGGATTATAATGAGTGAAATTAGTAACCTGAAAAGATACTACAGTCAGTTTTTTTTACTGAAGAATGTATATAGAAGTTGGGTTAGGCTACAAAAATACAAATAATTATTAGGGTCCAAAAAGGAAACATAAACAAAGCAAATGTGGGGTCTAAGAAGAAAATAATATAGTTGAAGCACATTAAACACAGTATTCTTATGAAGTCTTTAGGCTATATTTCATTGGTCACTTTCCTGTAGTTCTTGTTAACTATTTTCCATCTCTTTCCTCTTTCTCTCTTTTTGTGTTTCCTGCTTGAATTGTACCTACGTATGGCTCCTAGCAAATGAAGTTTCGCTTACTGATNGTGGTTCATGATACAGTAGAGCTCTTGTTTGTTTTTAAGTATTTATAACTTTGTGATCCATATCTAATTTTCTCTTTTTTCCTATTTTCTGGTGATTTGTGGTTCATGATACAGTAGAGCTCTTGTTTGTTTTTAAGTATTTATAACTTTGTGATCCATATCTAATTTTCTCTTTTTTCCTATTTTCTGGTGATTTGTGGTTCATGATACAGTAGAGCTCTTGTTTGTTTTTAAGTATTTATAACTTTGTGATCCATATCTAATCTTATTTATGTTCACGCTCTTAGAAATTTTATGTGGTGCCTGGTAATTGTATCTGAATTTCTTGGTGCCCGGTAAAGTTGGTGCTATGTACCAGGAGGTCACGGGTTCGAGTTGTGAAAACAGCCTCTTGCAAAAATATAGGGTAAGACTGCGTACAATAGACCTTTATGGTCCGGTCCTTCCCTGAACCCCGTGCATAGCGTGGGAGCTTAGTGAACTGGACTACAGCCTTTTTCTTCTTTAATATGTTCCTTTTCTAATTATTTTGCCTTTTCTTACAATAATAATGTAGAGTTAGATCACTTGGACTATCTTAACTGTTTGTTTTTTCTAAGAATTAAATTCATTCTCTAGTTTTTTCTTTTCTCTCTAAATTTGTGATTCCCTTTTCTCCTATTGTTCTTTGTTGAACATTAAGATTTAAGTGTGGTAGAAAAGTGGGTTAAAATTATTTTCTTTTTGTATATTATGGTTGGTGAAGTTAAGTGTGAAAAGTGTTCCCTTGAATTTCTGCTTGTTATTGAATTACAGGAATTTGTTTGAGAGTATATCAAAAGAGAAGTGTTACCAATTTCTATATATGAGCATGCATACTATATTTACCAAAAGGAATGAAACTGCAACTTGGTGGGGCAGCCTTGTTCCTCAATCAGTGGAGTCTTTTGGCCATTTGAAATCTGCATCTATTGAGCAGCCTTCCAAGGGGGACACTACTGAATTTACTACTTCCTCTGGTAATGATCAGTGTAATTGAATCTATTATAGCCGGCTATTAGTTATAAATGTTTACTAGAATTTATGTTTATTATAGAAATTTACATGTAATTACTTTACAACTGACATAATCTTAAAACTCCTTTTTTGTATTTGCAGTCTTTTGATTTTCTATGGTAAAGACAGCATGGTTATGTTCATTTTCATGGTTTTGGTTTCTAATAATTTTTGTATTGCAGTGTAAGAGCTTTATGCTAAAGAATATGGACATATATATTATATGAAAGTTGAGTCTTGTTGTCCTTTCTTTAAGTTTATAGATTTGAAAGAACAAATACATATGATGTGAAAGTTCAGACCCTATTGTCAGCATCTCTAAATAGTAAATTGGGACTGAGTAGGAAATCAAGGAAGAAACATAATCTTGATAAATATGGCTACTGGAAAGAGAAGGAAAACTTGTGCAGCATTCTGTATCTCTGACTTCAATTGCCAAATTGTTTCTTGTACGGACAAAGTTCCACATTGATTGATAAAAAGAAAAGGAAGTCATTATAAGGTGTAAAGATCTCTTAATTATGTAAGGTCTTTCAGGAAAACCGTGCAAATTTAGCCTAAAACAACATTATCAGATCATATGAAGAGTAGCTTCGGATTGTCTTAACCCAACAATATATTAGTATTACACCCTATGATTTGGCAGGACGAGTATGGAGATGGCGAAGTGATGTGTGAGGCTCGAAAGCTAGCTCTTGGACTTTGATGACCTTAAATACTCAAATGATGTGTGAGGCATATACACAATGAATCTCCAAATAAGCACATCAGGTGATGATCATGTGGACCTTAGTTCGAGGGGTTTGGTGATTAGCCATGTGGAACTTAATTCGAGGGGAGAATTGTTAGGTGTGCGAACAAAATCCCACATTGGTGTATGAATACTTTTAACGGTGCGGAGTCTTTTAGGAAAAATAATGCAAGTTAGGTGTAAAGCGTACAGTAACACACTATATTTAAGAGTATGTATTTGGGCTATCTTAGTCCAACACATGAAGGTAAGATCAAGAAGAGATTTGAAGGGATTGATTGGAATTTTATCGACCTACTTAAGGCTCAAATTGTGTTGTCATCCTCACTAAAATAAGTTCAAGCTCACTTCGCCTCCAGAATTGTTGAAGATCATAAGCAATTTATTTCTAAGTTGGAGAATGTGCATTGTTGCTGTTTCTTTTCATTTAATTTCTATTGATCTATATATAGAATCTCAACTACATTCTTCTTACTTTCTCATTTTGCCCTAAGATCACAATCTTACAAATTTCACATTTCCTTCTTTTGTTTCCCTAAAAAAAGAATCTTTCTTCTATGTTGTTTTAACCAGTTCGTGTTATATTTTGTTTGGAACTTCCATTAAGCTCCTATTAATATTTACGCAGAATCTCAATCAGGCGATTCCAAATCTTCAGAAAAGGCAGAAAAGCTTTCAAATGTTCTGGATGGTGTTTCTATGAAATCATCTTATATGGACTATCATGGCCACTTTGAGCCCCTGGTAAATTTTTTTGGATTAACTTATATACAATGTCCGTGTAAAAAGTTTCTATACTTATCATTGTATTTTAACCTATTGGATGGTGTAGTGTAAAAGTTAAACTCAATTTTATTATCATGAAAGCTAACATGTTAACAATTAGTCTTGATTCCTCTTCTCATTGTTTTTTTTTCTGCCTGTCCACCAGATTTATGCAAAGTATCCTTATGGAGAGAAGTGCCTTGGGTTATTCTCAGCTTATGGTTCTCAAGTTTCGGTATTACTTCTATCTCATGCCTGAAATTAGTTGCATCAGTATCTGCCTATTTCAGTTAGAATTTAACTTATATTCACCTTCGGTATAATGAAATGTTAATAATACCCATGCAACTTAACCTATTGTAAAAAGTTGCTTGTCCTATTTTCAGGTTACTAGTTCCATTTCTATACTCCGTCCTGTCTTATTCGTCGGAAGTATTGTCTAAAATTATTTTAACTAAATGATACGGAAAGTAATATATATACTCACAACAGAGTTTCTATTCTCAAAAAATTCAAGGGCCGCATTATGCTACCACTGAATTTGACCTCTGATGAAGGCCCGATATTTGTCAATGCAAAGCAGTATCATGGGATACTTAGGCGTAGAAAGTTTCGTGCAAAGGAGATGGAGAATAAATTGCTTAAACCACGCAAGGTAAAATTCTCTGCATTACTCCAGTTGCTGAATAATTGCAGTTACTATGGATCCACATATGCACATCTAATCATCGACTCTTTTAACTTGTAAGATGCCAAATAATATGCTTAATATGAAAATTTTAAGAGAAAAGAGCAGTTACTTGGGAAATTGTAGCAAGGTGTTCTAGATACGAGCTACTAAAAGAAGAATAAAAGAACATAACTAAAATGCATGATACTGAGGCGAAGAGATTACTTTCTTACTTTTAGCTAGCTTTTTTTTCCTAGACTCGGTTTTGCTTTCCTCTTCTCACTTTGGTTGCTTAATTTTTGCATTGGTTTAATGGTTACAGCCGTTCTTGCACCTATCCCGCCATCTCCATGCCATGCGCCGACCTAGGGGAGGTGGCGGCCGCTTCTTGAACACAAGGAAGATGAATGAAAGTATCAATGATGATACAAATGGTACAACCAAGACTAGTAACAGGAAATCTCAACCCACTGGATCACAGAATTCTGAAGTTCTGCAGTCTGATCATATAGGCAATTTTAACTCACCAAAGGAAACAACTAGCAGAATGTCCTGTAATTCATCAGAGGTTACTAGCTTCTACTCCAGGGGAAATCTTGATACTTATACAGTTCACAATCCTAAGCCATCAGTTCAGGCTTTTTTTGATATGATGAATACTAGCCATGATATTCTCATGGGCAGTAACTGGGGTTCTGCAGCATCAGATAGTTGCTGCAACCTCAACATTTGATAACGTCGTCCTTACTACAACCAAGTTGACATCTCTGGACTATGTTCCTACCGCGATTTGGTTGCTAGAATAGGCAGATCATCCTTGGCTATCGACAGGCAGTTCATCCTTGGCTTATCCGCATTAAGGTGTCGCCTCTCTCATTCCATCAGCTATGAAGCTATGTGGATGTTACGAGGTGCTAAAACCTTAATGCACTTCCATCATATATAGCAATAGTAGGATTATATATCCTAAATATAAAGAAGTTTATGAAGGTCCAAATAATCAGGTTTGCGATGTTGTGCATATGTTGGTTTGTAAAAATAGAGTTGATCATATGTTGATTATTAAACTTGATATTCACTAATGTGTAATTTGGTATGTTTTAGACTGGAAGTTGTATTTGGATGGAAGTGAATGTTTATGATATAATATTTTGGACATAAGTTTGTATAATATGTGCAGTGTCTTCTACTTTCTTATCATTTAACTGTTACCTTCCTATCATTCACTTTGATTAGAAACATTTATAGCTTTATGAGATGATTGGAAAAGGTATAATTCAAGGTTCATTTATAGTGAAAGTATATTCTAATGCAAGCCTATCCAGGGAAATGTTCCGAGAAATTAACCCTACTTATTTTGTTTTACGAATGCTAACTAAGTGATACTATGGGGCCGTGAAGATAGGCTTCGTACTGATCGAGACAAAAATATCATCGTGAATGGGCGATCAAGAAGGCCCATGGCCTAGGCTGGTGACTTCCATTGCACTTTGGAGGGATGCCAGCCTAAGGTCGGCCCAAGTGATCGAGCCTACGTCATAATTTGTGGCAGAGAGGGCCTGCGTTCGAAAAAAAAAGGGATGCAATTTGCCAAGTGTAACGCTTCTCGAGTGCCTATTGCACATAGAATCCTATCAAAGCATGAGTATTTTTCATTATTAATCATCAGATTACAGTTCTTTTGTTTTATTTTTCACAAAAATAATTTTTGACTAAGCAGATCTACATTTAGAGGTATAGCTGCTGAAGCACCAATTGGCTTTGCCCAAATTATTTTATGTATTCATAGATATTACCTAAAAAGAATAATAATTGACCATGGGCATCCATGACTTATAAATCCTTGATCCGCCTCTAAATTTTGCATTATAAGAGCGAGCCAGACAACCTCTCAGATAATTTCTTTGACCCAATCATTCTTAACCAAACATTTGACCCTTTCCTTACTTCATACCCCACACTCTTGAAGACTAATAAGTACTACAATAATATCAATTGACTTTTTAAATCTTATTTTTTCAGTCAATTTGGCATAGTTGTTGAAGCAGAGGACACGTTTAACAAGTCTTCTCTCCAGCCTGCCATTCAAGAACTAAATAGATTTCAACCTACCCCCTATCCCCCCCCCCCCCCACAAAACCTATCCCCACCACCTAGCTAGTAGCTACAGCTCAAGAAAAACCCAACTCATTTATTGCTTCCCAACCCATCTTAGCCAGATCAATAGAAATTAGTTAGTTATTCATCAAAATGAATGATCTATTTTCAGGCTCTTTCTCTCGTTTCAGAAGTGAAGATCAATCCCCAAATCAGGAATCTCAGGGCATACAAATGAGAGAAACTGGTGGTATCAATCTTGACAAGTTTTTTGAAGATGTAGAAGCCATAAAAGACGAGCTTAAAGAACTTGGAAAGCTTCACTCTCAACTCCACAACTCACACGAACAAAGCAAGACTTTGCACAATGCTAAAGATGTCAAAGATGTTAGAACAAAGATGGATAATGATGTTTCAATAGCTTTGAAAAAAGCCAAATTTATTAAAGTCCGTTTAGAAGCTTTAGACAGATCTAATGCTGCTAATAGAAGTATAGCTGGTTGTGGACCTGGTAGTTCTTCTGATAGAACAAGAACTTCTGTTGTGAATGGGTTGAGGAAAAAACTTCAAGAATCTATGAATCAGTTCAATGAACTCCGGCAAAGAATGGCTTCTGAGTATAGAGAAACTATTCAAAGAAGGTACTGTTGTTTACTTTTTCTAGCTATATACATAGTTTATACATTGAATATACATGATTATACATATAATACATAAATCATGCATATATTATACCTTACCGGCAGTTTTTAGTTTAAGCAGTTTGATCACGGCTATTTGGATTAATTCTTTCTTTTAAGTACTTAATTATATTAGATGGAAAAGCTCCAAATTGAGCAACTTTACACTCATTTTGACTTTTAACTTAGAATTTTTATAGCATCTTAGCACCATTAGTTCGATAACAAACATGGCAATAAAAACATTTGTATCCAGTAGCAGAAATCTTTTTTCCTATCAAAGATTAATCTCTCCCTAATTTTTAGTGATGACCTATGCCAGCCATTTTCATATTCTGTGATAGTGAGACTATAACGTGTGTTGCTCACAATAAAATATACAATGGGAAATCGAAATATATAAGCTTGAGACATGCTTATATAAGAGAATTAATTACAAATGGAGCTATAGCTATAATATATGTGAGATCAAATAAGAATTTGGCTGATCCACTCAAAGCCATTGGGCAGAGATGTAGTACAACAAACTTGTGAAGGGATGGTGGGACTGAGACCCTTAAATTAAATGCAAGGAATGAGAACCCCACTTGAGTTAGTATACACTCTAACAATATAAGTTCAATGGGTAATAACAAGTTACTTGTATTGTTTAAGCATTGATCTCCTCTTTAGGAGCCCTAATTCTATTGTACTACTTACTGTTATGTGAGGAGTTAAGCAGTTGTTAAATGCTTGTTATAACAGGGGCATAAAGACAAACTCCAAAGTGCATACTGTTACATGAAGAGTTTGATTAATCTTAATGGAATTATTATGTCTGGAGTAACAGGGACATAGTAACTAATTCCACCTATATGAATATTGAAGTGGTGCCACTTCTAGCAAGATTTAAAGGGTTGATCTGGTAAATATTCATGAATTCAGGATGAGCACATGGCCGTAAACGTGCTAAAGCGGATACTGGATTTTCTAAGCTACTAGATAACGTCGTGTGTGTGGTACTTTCGGTTTTGGCACAAGGAGTTGTGGTTCAAATCTTAAGATACCAATAACTTCGTCAAAACTTTAAAGTACTTACACTAAAGGAAAGTTCAAATCTATATAAGATACTTTCTATTATTCATAAGTGTTATGAAGTGAAATAACAAACTAGTGGAGGATTGTAAGTTAGTTTGTTATTCACAAGTTGGGAAGTGGGATTGTTCCCACATCGGAAGAGAGAAGGCCTCTTTGGAGCCTTTTAAGCACTTGTCCCTTTTATGTCTTTGATTTAGGACACATACTTTTAAGTGCGTGCAATTAAGTACACTATATATTTATATATTATATAATCAAAGACTTGGGCTTGGACTGGGGGCGCGGGCCTGGTCGGATCCTAAAGTTAATTATTTTATTTTGTGATAGAAAAATCAAATTTATTTGAATTTTAAATTCAAAATTTGAATAAACAGTTATGTCTGTTATAAAAGGGTCCAACCAAATATGTCTGTTCGTGAAACAAGACACCTTTTCTGCAAGCGTCTGTTGGTTGCCTATAAATACACAAGAATTTCCAACGAAGTGGAATAGAAAATCACAAGTATTATTGCAGGCTTTGTTGTATCCTGAAGAGAATCGTTTTGTATTTCCCTAAATTAGTATACATGCGATAACTCTTTAAGGACAGTCGATTTTCACGCCTCAAAGCCATTTATCTTTAAGGACAGTCGATTTTCACGCTTCAAAGCCATTTTTGTTTATTATTTTCTAACAATTATGTGTTCGACAGGTACTACACAGTGACCGGGGAAAACCCAGATGAAGGTACACTAGATAATCTGATATCCACTGGCCAAAGCGAAACATTTTTGCAGAAAGCAATACAGGAGCAAGGAAGAGGACAAGTAATGGACACAGTTATGGAAATTCAAGAAAGGCATGAAGCTGTGAAGGAATTGGAAAAAAATCTGAAAGAACTGCACCAAGTTTTCTTGGACATGGCAGTTTTAGTGGAAAGTCAAGGAGCTCAGTTAGATGACATTGAAAGTCAAGTCAATAGAGCCAATTCATTTGTTAGAGGTGGTGCTCAGCAGCTTGAGGTAGCAAGAAAGCACCAGAAAAATACAAGAAAATGGACTTGTATTGCCATTGTTATTTTGCTGATTATTATCTTGGTGGTGGTTCTTTCCATTCAACCATGGAAGAAATCAGGGGGGGAGACACAGCCGCAGCCACAACCACAGCCACAGCAACAGCCACCGCCACAGCCAACGCGATAGCTACGAGTTCGGCAGAATCCAGTTGCCTCAGACCATATATTTGCACTAAAATATCAGTTAATACGTGTAAGTAATCTATTCAGAACTCAATACGCAAAAAGGGTTGTGGACCAGAACCCATAAACTAAAAATCCTACCTCCATCTCGGAAAAAAACAATGACATACTATGAGAAGCAGTCAAATGATCTTATAGCTCACAAGTTCGAACAATGGAGTTGATGCTTATTTCAGGGTAGACTACCTTGCGATCCTTGCATGACGACTTCATGCATGAATGCATAATACTTTGAGCACCACGCTGCCCATTTTGCGTTTTTTTTTTTTAATGTTTGGAGTTCTTTTTGTAATTAATGATATAAGTAGAAACGGAGCTGAGGGGTACTGTTTAATTTTTTTACCATGTGTTTTGTCTTAATTGCTTGGTTATATCTAATCTCTTGTTGGTGATTCTTTTGTTTCTTGTTTGGACCTTTTCAAAATTAATAAATGAAAATTCCAGCCTGCAATTGTTTTACTAGACTTCAAAGAAAATGTCAGATAGAATAAAAGAATTCTTCACATGTACTTAATACACTTGTAAAAATTCATTTTATCCGCGTGAAAAGTTTGATAATAAAACAACTAAACAAGACATTTAGCATACATAAATTATGTTAAAAGAATTGTTGTATACTTGTCAATACCTCTTAACTAATAGAGAAAACATATGAGAAGTAATAAATATTTGAAGAATTAACCCAAAATAACCGCACACCTAATTTTTTAAACTAAAAATAGCCATCGGATGTATAATATATGTAAAATGCATTTATAATATGTGTATAATTATGTATAACCAATGTATAATCTATATATACCGGCTAGAAAAAGTAAACAGTAAATCTCGCATGCTATTTGTGTAAAAATAACACACATCCTTCAATTATTTAGAACGTAAGCTCCAATAGAGTAGAAAAACAAGGGAAAAAGAACGAGGATCATAAATGAGCAACACCTCTAAAAAAAATTCATCAATGAGCAGCTACTTCTTCTTCAGCTTCCTCTTCTCTCAAGCATTATAGCTAAAGAGTGACACAAGAGGTACAGCTCTTACAAGTTACAAACTGTACGTATGATGATCCTATTAATTTCTCTGCAGGTTTAACCGCATCAATAGCTAGAAAGCATCACGAACATTTACCTAGACCTTTAGAATACAATCTAAGAAGCTCCAATTCGCACAACACCCCTATTATACATATTAGAAAACAATGACATACACGTCAATTATGTACCTATCTACCAGCCATATGTTGGGTTTTCTACCTGAGGCAAGACATGCAGATCTTTGCAATGCTGTTTGTCATAATCCTGGCATTTAGGTATTACACCAGTACACAACCTCAGGAACTCGTTCCCTGTGAGATAATTGTGGGCAGACGCCAGACCCCCATCAACCATCTCGTCTAGGTTTGGCATAGAAGTTGATTTCCCTATGCCCTTCTTGATGTCTCCTGCCCATACTCATTTTGCCACTCAAAACCTTATTGAGATCAGAATATTCCAATGAACCTCGGGGTAGCAGCTTCCCATGAAAGCTTATATTGCTCCTCGGGAGTGAGAGACTGAGGTTCTCCATACATTGCCTCTTTAACTTTGCTACAAAGTCTTCAGGTGTCCTGCAAGTTAAATGCCTGGAAAAATTCATTCGATTGGTGGTTCGCACAGACTACAAATTTTCCCATTGCAAGAGCCTCAGCCGTGGCAGTGCAGAGCACCTCACCGATGCAAGGATTTATGAAGACCTTGTAACTGCAAGCAAAGATATGCACATTAAAAGGCTGAACTCTAAAGAACCAAACAGGTAACAAGGAAATGGGAAACGCAACAAGTAGCATCAAACAAAAGGCAGCAAATGGTCTGCACTCAACATCGTTGATCAAGTTGATGCTTAAGATCAACCGATTGGCAGTACCATGTCAATGAAAACTTCCAAGAAAATATAAAAGAAAAAATAGTGCATTCAGTATTTATAGAAGATGTCGTGGAGAAAAAGTTTTTTTTTTTTTTTTTGAAAAGGTAAAGCGTCCACTATATTCAAAAAATCACCAGCACAAACTTTGTGCTGGAAGCCAAAATAGGCAATTACAATATGGAAAAGCAAAAATATAGTACTTGTTCTTCTTACAAGGAACTCAAAACATCTAGGATTGAATCAGGATCCTCTACATATTCTGATTTACACCAAAAACATAAAAGAAGAATACACTTCATCTTAATCTTTTGTAGAGAGTTGGTTGTATCTTCAAAGCATCTCAGGTTCCTTTCTATCCAAATTGTCCACCAAATAGTTTAAGACTTTATACAAGTAATGTCGTTCATGAGGTATTTACCGTTAAAACGAATAAGAAAATTTACACTCAAGTAAAATTGAAATCCCACGGGTGAGTATACCTGTCTCATACTCTACATCTAACATAAATCAGGTCGCACATAACAATGACCAGTACTCTGGAGAACACTGGCAATTCCTAAATCTAGCGAATCATTCAATAAATTCACCTTAATCAGTGAGGACCCTCCTTCGGGTAAGGAATGTAGCAAAAGTTTGCTTCGTCCTTTGCTGCACGGACTTTCCAGAATCTTTTCTGATATATCTGCAAATAAATTAAAGACCCAAAGAGGATGGCTTATAGCGTTCACAGACAACAGATAGTCATTTAAATTAAATTAAAAATTAGAACAAAATAAGAAGAAGAAAAAGAAGCAAAGTTCAGTTATGCTTGTATATCATTATTCATTAGAATCCAGAAGTGTTATCTTTATATTGAGAATCCGACACATCAAGCTTTATTTTTGAATTATGACATCCATAACTAACATCTGTCTGTTACTCACAGTATATCATGCAAACATTCTGCATCACCATGTTGGACATGTCAAAGATACATTACGAAAAACTATCCCATTTTACTTGTTGAAGGTTGTAACTAACAGAGCTACCACAGAATTCACACAAGAAGAAAATGCTCCTAGCTTTAAGTGCAACAATTTATTATAAATTCAAAATGATATTTTTAGAAATTGTATAACTTGATGCAAAAGTTAGCTAACCATCCTAGTGAATGTGCAAGAGTAGGCTACCCTTCCTACTAAATGTCCAAAAGGAGTAAGCGATATCTAGAGCAAAGTGACCTGATAAAATATCAAACCAGGAGTGTAGGTAGTATCACCATTGTGACTTATGCTAGTGAAGAATATCCACCTTCAACAGCTTAAATAGACTAAACATCAAAAAGAAAAAGAAAAAAAAAAGAGCACTCATGTAGATTAAATGCACAGGTTGAGTATTGCAACAGAACAAATATTATGCATTCCAAAAAAAAAAGTATTGCAAACAGAATAACAAGAAAGACAATCCAAAATCACACTAATAAATTTGTAAATGACAAATGAACTATTACCTCTTCTTATTCCAATTTGATCCAAAAATGGGCTCGACTGTGCAACTAAATATGCCATCAACTCCGGCACATCAAGTGGTGGCACTCCCTACATAGATGATAACAACATGCGAGAATGGATAAGAGGATAATGAACCATAGTACACAGTACTTCTCATATAATAAAAGGGGTTGAGGAAAAAGACATGGGTATAATAAAAGGGGTTGAGGAAAAAGACATGGGTAAACTTTCAGCGTAAAACCATCTTTGGCACTGATAGGAACTAAAAGGAATCACAAATGCAAAGCTAACAATGAATTATAGCAGCGTCTTAAAACACACAACATATTGCCTAAGATGACTTATGTTAAAAAATTTGAAGAACAAAACTCAGACATTCCTCTGATGAATAAGAGGTCTTTTAAGTTACAGTTTCCTTAAAGTTTTTTGTTTTAGGGAGAAGTTGCAACTAGCTTGTTATTGAAAGACCTTTGTGACTGTGGGAGAATTGCAGCTCATAACCGCTGGCCTAAACAGATCATTCATCAAAACCAAACAGTTAGCATATTTATTCAAACTGAGCAATAAAATGATAAAAGTATAAAGAGTTCAAAGCTTTCAGAAATAGAATCCAATAAAACATACTTTAGCACCAGAAAGTGAGACATCAAGTGTGCACCATTTTATCCACCTTCCACTTAAATAAAAAGCATCAAGAATATGAGAAAGATGAAAATAGACGGAGGGTGCAAGATAAAGTTAAGAAAGCAATTGTAACTTGCCAGTTACCTGTCAGAAGTCACTGCATATACCACATGACGACTCCGAACTGACCTCATGGAAGGCAGATTCCCCTTTAAAAAGAATAGCCCACAGGAACGGAAATGAGAGACCTTTATTCAAGCAACAGGGTATCAAGGTGCACATGCAGATCTAGTTGTGGACATCCTTGACTGCACAAACATATGCAACAGAATCACAAATAGTAGGAATTTCATACTTTATTTGTTGTCTGTTCTATCAAGTCCCTCTAGCAGCAATGTGTATGTCTGGGAACTAAGCCGAGAACCATTTTTCTCCATAATCTCCAACAACTCAGAACATCTATCTACAAGTCCCCTCTTAAGTAAGCCATCAATTAGAAGCTTCCAAGCTACCTCATCATTATTGTACCCACAATCAAGAAGCCGGAAGAAGGTTGCCTTAGCTTTATCATTGTTTCCATCATCATATAATCCACATATAAGGAGCTTGTATGACTCTAAGCGCGGTAAAATACCTTGTGTAAGCATAGTGTCAAGAAATCTTGCTGCATCCTCGTACATTCTCAACTTGCAACAACAATTTACCATTGAGGTGTATATATCTTCACAAGAAGACATTCCGCAACTCTGCATACGATCAAGTAACCTCGAAGCTTCCTCAAGGCGTCCTTCTCTACAGAATCCAATAGCAAGCGAACTAAAAGTGTTTGTATTTGGAGGACATCCATGTTCCCCCATTTTATCAAAGAGATTAAGCAAAGTTTCATATTTCACTACTTTCCACACGTCAGCAATATTGATGGAACTGGCCTCTGTTTTGAGATCAAGTCCTCCTTGCGCCAAATGTTTGATCAAAACGGAATAGGTATAATGAGAAGGTTCATATCCAGCATCAAACATACATTTTAGCACATCAAAGGCTCGATTTAATAATCCTGAACGACCATAGCCATCAATCAGTACTGTATAGGCCATCAAATCTGGCCTAACTCCCGCCTCTGCCATTTTAGCCATCACATCTTCCGCTTCTTTCAATTTCCCTTCATTGTAATATGCAACCAGAAACGAAGTGTAAATGCAGACATCAGGCTTGTGTCCCATGGAAACCATTAAATTAAAAACCTTGTAAGCATGATCAAAGGCACATTCTTTTAGTAGCTGCTCAATCAGGATACTGTAGGATTCAATTGTGGGTTTAACACCACTTTCTGGCATCCTTTTAAGTAATTGGGCTGCTTCCAGCTGCTTACCCTGTTTACACAACCCGTTAATCAGCACATTATAAGTACATGCATTTGGGGAGCAACCTTCCTCAATCATTTTATTGAACAATGCCAAGGCAAAAACAACTTTTTCAGCTCGGCAATGTCCATCAATTAGAGCAGTGTACATTGCAACATTAACCTTTATACCCTTCTCTTTTAGAGAACTAATAATGGTGTTAGCTTCTTCAACTCTGCCTCTTTCACACAAGCCATCAACTAGAGTACCATAAGTCCAATCATCAGGAGCCAAACCATTCTCCTCCATCAATCTAAGCAACCTAAATGCACTATCTATTTCGCCCTCTTTACACTGTCCATGAACTAACAAGTTAAAAGTGACATTACTAGGAGACAGTTTGCGCTCAAGCATCCTATCAAGTAGTGCCATTGCCTTATGCACCTTCTTTGTCCTACAAAAGCCAGAAATCAATTCATTGTATGTACGTACATTAGGGATACAATTATTCGATTCCATCGTGTCAAAAATAGCTAATGCAACATCAACCAAACCTTTCTTACAGTAACCATCAATCAAAGCATTGTATGTCACTACACTTGGAACTAGCCCCTTTTCTGACATCACATCTAGTAACGCTCTTGCTTCATCAAGCTTGGAGTCTTTACACAAGCCATCGATGAGAACAGTGTAAGTATGAACATTCGGCTCACAGCCTTTCTCCTTCATCTCGCCAAACAAACTCAATGCTTCTGCCCTCCTATCCAATCGACACAACGCATCAATAAGAATCGTATAGGTCCGAACATTAGGACAACAACCATCATCATCTCCCATTCCTGAAAACAACCTCATCGCCTCATCCATCCTCCTCGCTTCACACAACCCGTGAATCAAATTATTGTACGAAACCACATTTCTTCGGCAACCCTTTTTCGGCATTTCCCTAAAAACCTTAAAACCACTATCTACATCCTTTCTCCTACAATGTCCCAATATAAACGACGTATAGGTGTGCGTATCGGGACTCAAACCAGCTTGCAAGATCTTACTCACATAAAGCTCAGCCTCAACAACATTACCCAATTTACAATAAGCATTAATCATTGTATTAAAAGTATAAATATCAGGCTTAATCATATCATTCAACATGTCATCATACACACATTTCATTTCCTCAGTCATAACGAACCGCGATAAGGACATTAACAACGTGTTATAAGCCCACAAATTAAGCTTAAACTCATCACATCTATTCATATTTCGCAGAAAACCCACTGCAAAAACGGCTTCGTCACGCGTTTCACAGGATTTAATCATGGAAAGGCGGGTTTTTTGAGCAACCTGAAAAAGCTTATTGGAAATTAAAATACGTAAAAGGGGTGCATAGGAATGAACATTGGGTTTGAAAGAAGGGATACGGGAAAGAAAATTGAAAAAGGAGAGAGCAATATGGGGATTAAGATTTGAGTGGTTTTGAGAGAGGAAAGAAGAAAGAAGAGATGGGGATAGAGAAGGAATAAGAATCTTGAGGGAAGGGTGTTTTTGCCAATTTGGATTTGAAAGGAGATTGAGGAGTTGTTGGTCAATGGAGGAAGAGGGTTCTTGAGATTCTACTGGGATTGAAGAAGTGATGGAAAATGGGAAAGATTTGATAAAGGAGAATAAAAGAGAAATTGACTGACCTGAGGAACGGAATAATGGAGTAGGCAATGCCGTCCATTGTATCATCGTCTTTGGAAAATCAATCCAATCAAGACGGAGAGATATATTCAAGTTTTGAGATTCATGGAGCTGGTTTTGGAGTGTAACACAGCGGCGATTTTGTTGTTCGCTGACAGAGGCGGACTTCGGCGATAGTGTCATTAGAAGGGGCGAAGTGCACAAATAGCCACTTTTAGAATTTTTTTATTTAAAATTTAGCCCTTTTAAAAGTTTTAATAGCCTCATTATTGCGGGTCTTATGTCAACCCCAGGATGATTGTTGTTGGAACGACCAAAAAGTGTTAAGCCTTTTTGTTAAACTAATTAAATGAATGATAATGGGTAAATTCTAGTTAAATATAATAAATCATAGATCCAAGATTGATGGATAATAATAGTCTAGAAACTGCACTTAAAGCTATTAAATACCTAAAGGATGTTTAATGATATTCTTACGAAAGAATGGTGGGACAAGGACAAGCAATGAATATGATAAATGACAATAAATGTAAATAGAGAGAATAATTCACCCAAATTATAACGAGGTGGATGATTCTCTCTCTGACAATGCTGTAAGATAACCAAACGTGGGAATATCAAATACTTTATTGGATCTGATGTGGGAGAGCTTGGACAGAACAACAAATAGAATCTTGTGTGAAGATAGTGTTTGTAGTTACTCGAGAGTCAACCTTTTTAGAGAGAGCTTATCAGGATCGAATATTACATGCCCCTTCTTTCTCTCTCTATTCCTACTTATATAGGACATACCCCTTACCTACTGAAAGTACAAATAAAAGAATATTCCTCTGAATATTCCTTTAAAATATCTTATTGCTAAACTAGCCATTTTGGCCGATTTGAGTGCTCGACCTCGGCATTGGCTGCTCGGCTCACCGGTGTTGCTTCTTAAGCTCGACCTCGACCTAATTGATTCTTGATTTCCTTATTTCGGGCAAGGTCCCGTTGATCAGATTTTAACCCATACAGTTAGTCCCTCCGCTCGTCGGGGTTGTTATTGGACGAGCTCGGTGTTGCAATTTTGATAAATCTAAGCCTGTCGACCGAGGAGTAACCCTTTTATGGCAAGGTGATGATGTGGCGCTTCAAGAGCCACATCTGACCGTTACGTCAGTTCAAAATAACATCTTTTCATCATGCGTCATTATGGCGATTGTTCCCAATACGTTACGTCATTTTCCACGCCTTTTCCGTTTCGAAATTAATGTGGCAGCGTTTGGACTTTCTCGATTAGAGTGCCTATATTCTTATAAATAGGGATGGGTGTTTCTCATTTGAGCTGTTGCATTTCTAGAGCTCTTGAAACTCCAGTTTCTCCTTCTCCAAATTTCCTGTGTCTGTGTTTTCCTTCTCCCTTTAGCGCTTTCTGCCATTAACACCTTCCTCATTTTGCATTTCCTTTTAGCATATAATCAGAAAAAGAACGGCTAGTGCTTCCTCTGATCCTGTAACTTTGGCTGTGGACGTGCCTCCTCATGAAGAAGGAGCGGCCATGGTAGAAGACGAGAATTTTCCGACCGTGGATGAGATAATTCCATGTTCGAGAAGGCCAGGTCAGACTTTAAGAACCCACCTGAGGGTGAACCCGACCCCGTTGTTTCTGGGATGGATGCAGCGGCGATTGCTGCATTTAGGGCTAAGTGGTGAATCCCGGCCCACGTCGAACTTATCCCTGCTGGTAGTGATGTAGTGCAAGTACATCGCCCAGGGTACTGCGCATTTTACGCGTACCCGTTCGTTTTCGGCTATACACTTCATCTTCCTTCCTTGGCGGAGGATTTTTGCCATTTTTACGGTGTGTGCCCGTCTCAGCTCTCTCCGTACATATACAAGCTTTTCCTTATGCTTATCAAGTACGCGGAGCTGGCCAACCGTGGTATTTTTCTCCGCCATCTGCTTCACCTCTTTGCCCCAAGTTTTCATAGGGGCACAATGATTCACATGTGCCACCGTGGAACCAAGGGGTTGGTGGTGAAGATGGGCGATAAAACTAATCGCCGTTTTTGGGAAAATTTCTTCTACGTGAAGACAGAGCACATGGTATCGAACCCCAGCGGATTTCCCGAGGAGTGGAACTTTGCTCGTAAGTATTTTTCTCCCAAATGAATTTGTTGTTTATTTTTTGGCGATCTGATCGTTCTCCTTCTCTTTTTGCAGTCGAGAGGGATCCTCCTTCGCCAGTCGTTGACATTCGCGAATGGGTGAGTCAGATTTGCCTCACATGGTGGGGATTCGCGAGTGGTCGCAATTTAATGAGAGGTTTGGGCGTAGGCCTGTGGCCGGCGAGTCACCTTACTTTGACTTTAATAGTTTTGACCTTTATATCATCATCTCTGTCTTGTTTCTTATTTATCTTTCTTCGTTGGTAGGTTGGAGGGCTTCAAGGAGGAGGGCTCCTACGCCTGCTTTTCGCTAGTCGGGTATTTTGGTTGGGCCCGTACTAGCTGTGGCTGCAAGTGAGCCTGCTCAGACCGCTGTTACTCCATAGACCCCGGCCTCGCACGGTCCTAGTCGCCAGGCTGCTGCCCCGCTAGCGGAGATTCCGGCTTCTACAGTGCTTCACTTGGTCGATGAGTCGGATTAGGGCGAAGATGAAGAGGCTCCTCTAAAAAGGCGAAGGATAGAGGTTGATGGAAGAGTGATTGAAGAGGAGCCGGCGAGGGGCGAACCTGAGTTGAACACGGCCGAGCTGAGGGGTGGTACGACCTCGATGTAGTGATTGTGCCCCATTCGGACGTGGAGATCACCTCCGTGGAAGAAGGAGAGCGACTAGAAGCGGCTGTGATCATTCAACAACTCTTAAAGGTGCCCTTGGTGAAGCATGTTCACGACCTCCTATCTAAGGGCGATGCAACCCTCAGTCTTGTTACCCCGTTCCTGGTAGAATTCGCAGAGGGCGTTTGACTTTCTGGTGTTTGGGTCGGACTCCATCTTCTGCGGCCATTTTACCTTTAGGCCGAGATTTTCCAATGTGTAGACTATTTCTGAGGGGGAAACACAAAAATTGTGAGCTGATAATAAGGGGGCATACTTCTTTCATTTCGGTGGATTCCCGTTCGCAGCCTGGATGGACCTTCGTCGTGACGTGGAGGTGGCATGAGGGTGCCTCTGACTTAAGGTTGATGTCTTTCTCGATTAGGTCGTGACCTTGCTAGATCTCTTCTGTTGTCGTTTCTTCGGTCTTTCCTAGATTCCATTTGGACCGAAGTCAGACGTTGAGTAGGTCCGTTGAGATCATCCTCGTCGGCTCTTACCTCGGCACAATAGGCGTTGTGTATCTCGTCCCAAGTGGTTGGAGGGTATTTCATGAGTTGGCTTAGCAACTTTTTGGTTTCCCACGACCCACTTCAGCTCAGTCCATTCTGGAAAGCGGCCACCGACATTCCTTCAGATACATTCGGAAGGGTCATTCTCACATGGTTGAACCGGGCGAGAAAGTCCCTGAGTCCTTCGCCAGGTGATTGCTTGATGGCGAATATGTCGTTCACCCTCGCCTCTGCTTTTTTGGCCCCCGGCATGGGCGGTGATGAACTTGTCGACCATTTCCTCGAACGTTTCTATGGAGCGTGCAGGTAACTGCGAGTACGAATTCAGGGCCCCATCGGTTAGGGTCTCTCCAAACTTCTTCAGCAATTTAGATGATACTAGTTCTTTTGCGAGGTCGTTGCCTTTCACTACAGTGACATAGTGGGTCACATGATCCTCCGGGTCCGTCGTACCGTCATATAGTTCAAGTATGGCGGCATTTTGAAAGTTTTTGGTATAGTATGTGGTATGGCAACGTGGCCATACGGTTGTTCCATAAACCGGCCAACAAATCCCGCTTTAGTAGGAATTTTGGGGTGCCCGGTATCTTATCTACCCTTTCTTGATGCTCTCTTATTTGATCGCGGAGTGCTTTGTTCTCGTTCTCCATCTCCTCCATTTTTCTAAGGATGGCAGCGAGGGCGTCGTTACCTGCATTATTAACAGAGTGAGTGATACCTATCGAGGGAGGCTGGGTGTGTTGCTCATTGGTTGTTGTGGCGATGACGACTCGCACACCCTCTGAGCGGGTTTGTCGAGTATACTATTCAGTGTATTCGTTAGCCATGCTTCTAGTAGCTTTTTTACTACTGGTGGTTCTTCTTCCGTGGTGGACGTAGAGGCTCCCTATCCATGAGAAGCGGTAACACTACCATGAGGGGGGGGGGGGGGGGGTTGAATCACTTCGCCTAGGTAAGGCGCTTGGTGTCACGTTCTCCTCGTCCTCTCCGTGAGTTTCATTGATGGTGTTTAGGAGATTAGAGGTGAGATCGGCTATCACCTTTCTCTTTTCCTCTCCATTGCCTGCCATGTCAGATTTGTGCAAACAATGAGATACGAGATTTTGCAAGGTTTTGTGTGTTTTTTTAGATATAGAAAAAACTAAAACTTTTAACTAGAAACTCCCCACAAACGGCGCCAAATTGTTTGACCAAAAAGTGTTAAGCCTTTTTGTTAAACAAAATAAATGAATGATAACGGGTAAATTTTAGTTAAACATAATAAATTCTAGATCCAAGATTGATGGATAACAATAGTCTAGAAATCGCACTTAAAGCTATTAAATGCCTAAAGGATGTTTAATGATATTCTTATGAAAGAATGGGGGGACAAGGACAAACAATAAATATGATAAATGGCAATAAATATAAATAGAGAGAATAATTCACCCAAATGAATAACGAGGTGGATGATTTTCTCTCTGACAATGATGTAAGATAACCAAATACTTTATTGGATCTGATGTGGGAAAGCTTGGACAGTACAGCAAATCAAATCTTATGTGAAGATAGTGTTTGTAGTTACTTGAGAGTCAACCTTTCTAGAGAAAGTTTATCAAGATCGAATATTACATGCCCCATCTTTCTCTCTCTATTCCTACTTATATAGGACATACCCCTTACCTACTGAAAGTACAAATAAAAGAATATTCCTCTGAATATTCCTTTAAAATATCTTATTGCTAAACTAGCCGTTTTGGCCGATCTGAGTGCTTAACCTCGGCATTGGCTACTCGGCTCACCAGTGTTGCTTCTTAAGCTCGACCTCGGCCTAATTGATTCTTGATTTCCTTATTTTGGGCGAGGTCCCCTTGATCAGATTT